CTATTTGGATGGATCCAACTGTGAACAGGTATCTTACGCCGCCATCCCGTTTTCGTGACGCTACTCCTAAGAAGTTAGGATTTGCAAGTAGAGTACAAGTTGAAGAATTTGTTAAGAGAGAATTTCCGGATGTCGATCCTAGCACATTCTTTTCTATGTTTATCTGGAAGATCCCTGCTGAAGGATACAGGATCCAAAAAGGTTAAACCTTTCTGTTGCATTTTTATGTTGTTCAGTTGTCATGTAATTAGTGCTTTAGATAGTAGTTCATTGAGGTTCTGAAAGCTGTTATAAATAGCTGTTTTAGTGAGCATGTACAGTTGTGGGTTTTATAGCAGCACCTGCGGACACTTCTTTGGAAGCCAATTGTTTCATAATTATTTCTTTATACATCTGCGCAATATTAGGTATAGTAAAGGGTGTGTAGGAAGGGCGGGCCTGGTGCAAGCGGTAGACTCTTACTGCCTGTGACCGGAAGGTCCTGGTTCGAGTTGCGGTCTCCTCGCATTGCACAAGCGAGGGTAAGGCTTGCCACTAACACCCTTCCCCAGACCCCGCACAGAGCGGGAGCTCTCTGCACTGGGTACGCCCTTTAGTAAAGGGTGTGTAGGTATGTTGGATCTTGTATCTGATTTTTCTAGCACCAGTTAATATGTAAGACTGCTTTCTGAATATGCCCATGGACCTTCCACTACTTTCATTTGTTGTAGTGGCCTTAGTATGTTAGATCTTATGTTTGTAGGTGTATATGTACGTCTTAGCGAACTTCGTCTTCCTACAACTGTAGCTACTGTGCTGCACCTAATACATCACCAATTCACCATAACTCCACCTTACGCATCTGCAGTTAAAAAATATCTTTTTAACTGTACAACATGACATGGTCCTTTTGAAGCATACCCTTGTATTCTTAACTGTAGTTCCTCCCTGACCATATAACTCAATTCCCCAAGCAAGGTGACCCATTTTGCCAAGTTGAGCATTTGATTTTACGAAGATAAAAGGCAGGGGTTGCATATCCAATTGTGTGTGGTAAATAATAAAGTTTATGAGGAAGTGGCCACACAGTCATGTAGTATAACGTTTCTTTGCGATACCGCTATTCTCTCACCCTTTCCACATCTGCAGTTGTTGCGAAGGGAATCTCCTTTTACAATTACCTTTATTGGTGGATACAATTTAGTGTCCTTGCAACATTTTTATTTAAAATCATTTCTGACTTTGGTCCGTTCAGAAAGCTTTCTGTGTTCACATCTTATATGGGAAGTATTTTGATATTTAAATCGTTTTTAGATATGGGCTTGTTTGGGCCCCTGTCATTGTATAAGTTTTGGGCCCATCCTGTATTCTCCATGTCTTGCATGTTTTCGACACTTTTTTTTTGCATGTATAAGTTTTAAGCCCATACAACATGCCAGTGACCTTGTACTCTATATATGGTTCGTCTAGAGAGTCTTCCCTTACATCTCCCAATCCTCAAACCCTAGCCGCCAATCCTTCCACCCGCTGCTTCCGACCAACTCTTGCTGCCGATGACGCCCTTCTACCTAGTACCGCGCTCCGAAGTGAAGCGGCGCTATCTCCTTCCCCAGCACAGGAGATCACATTTTGCCTGTAATGAAATATCTGATCTGATTTTCTATTTTTTCCCCCTTCGTACATCTAGACTAGAAATTGCTTGATGTTACGGCCCTGTTTGGAACTGCGATCTGCGACCGCGCGGTGCGGTATCCCATCCGTGGCTCCGAGGCCGCGATACGGGAAATCGGCGGTGTAGTTCATTTCCCGATTTTTCCTCTCACAGGCGGTCGCTAGAATCACGGCCATCGCGAGGCGTTTGGTGGGATTTTCCCGATTCTCGCGGTGGGGTGACCAGGAATCCGATTACAATCAGTTCCAAACAGGGCCTACATCTGGTGAATGGTGATTTGTGTAATTGTGTTTGTGTGCGCGCGTGGTGTGGGGGTTAATGGATCACAAGATACATCATGTACACAGTTGTTTCTGTATGGTTACTGCTATTCTTTTTCAGATTGCTTCCTTTATGCTGCTCGTTAATACCTAAGTATTTTCAGGCACCCAGCAAGTGAGGCGCAATGAACCTGAACCTGAACCTGTGGTGGCTGATCCAGGTGGTCTCTGCAAGGCTAGGAATAGCTTGTGCAATCTTGAAAGAGAAGGTTTTGTTGAATCATCACCAGCACGGGCTTGTAATATCTGCTGCAAAGAGCCTGGTTTCTGTCGTGAGTGCTGCTGCCTTCTCTGTAACAAAACCATTGACTATTCTTTTGGAGGTTACAGCTTCATAAAATGTGAGGCAGTTGTGGAAGAGAACTTAATATGTGGACATTCTGCACACCTTAATTGTGCTCTTCGAAGTTACATGGCTGGAACTGTTGGGGGAGTTTTTGCCTTGGATGTGCAATATTTATGCAGGCTCTGTGATAACAAAATCAACTTAATGACGCATGTGGAGAAACTCATGGAAACGTGCCAATCTCTTGAATCAAGGGATGAAATCAAACCTATGCTGAATTTGGGCTTATGCCTCTTGCGTGGCTCAAAACAAAAGAGAGCAAGAAGCTTGGAGAACCATATGAGATCAGCAGTGGAAAAGGTATACTTTGATGTTGTGATCTATTTGATCATCTGTTAATAGCATGTTGCCTATTGTCATAATTTAGTGCTCCTTTGATTGTTGATGAACTGGTGATACCACACACAGTCCATTTTGGTCCTAAAATACCCTAATAATTTAAAGTCATGGATTGATGGTTTGTTGCTTAATGCAGCTGGAATGTGGATTTGACCTTGTTGAAGTCTGGAAATTGGAAGGTGACGAGGGCAGGGCAACACTCAGTGCAGGTAAACTTATTTTAGGAGTGCAACTAACTGTAGGAAGATTGAACTCTATTTAGCCCCAGCCATTTCTAGGACTTAATGTCCGTCCAAAAATCTCAGCTAGTTGCGATACTTTGGCCTTTGGTGTTTAATGTAATTCTTAGAAATTTCAACTATAGATGGTACAGAACTTTGGGATCATATATGCCATACCTGTCTGAAAATGTCCTGTAGATCCCCTATTAGAAGTTGCCATGTATAGCCCCTTTGGTTGACGCCTATGCTAGTCTCAGTGCTGTAGAAATGACTAATATTTGCTATTAATTTAAGTTATGACATAAAGTTGGGATATGTTGTTCAATTTCTTCTTTGTTCATAATTGGGTTATTTTCTTGATATGTAATGCAGGAGAGAATTCCCCACCTACCAGTGGTGTGACTGTGCTTGGGGCTCAGCAAGTTCCTGAAGCGGGTGCACTTACAGGGCATCCTGATCTGATAGATCCACTGGGTGATAATGACTTTGAAACGGATATAGAAAATCTTCCAGTGTTCATTACTGGAGATCAGAATGTTGCGTCTGCCAAATTTGAGGATGAGATAGATCTTGCTCTTCAAGAACTGAAGAAATCTCAGGAAATGGAATATAACTTGGCAGAGCAGAAGCTTTACGCTCAGAAAGACCGCATCCTCTGTCTGTACAGGCAGCTTGGTACTGAAAGGGCTCAGCTTGCAGATCCCATGCCCTTGTCTGATGCTTCAAATTATGGCACAATGCTCGCTAATGTTCTACGCCATGTGGACCAAATCAAGCGTGAGGAGGAGAAATTTAAGTCCATGCTGAAAGTTGCTGGTGGATTTGCGAAAGCACCACAAAGCGTCATCAAGGAGCTGTTCGGGTTACCTGCTGATAAGTAGTAGTTCTAATATCAGACTTGCTTGGAACTTAGCTATCGATAGTTTACCATAGAATCAAACGTGGCTGTGCTGTTGTAGCTGTTGTAGTTGTATGGGTTGTACATCCTACCAACGGGTTACCCATAAGTCTGGTTTGGACTTAACCAGTAGGTGCTGTGGATGCGCAGGTTTTCTATGGACCTGCTTGTATTAAAAGTCGTTAAATGTGACATTCTAAATGGACCGAATCTGAACCATATAATCTGCTGTGGATTCAGGCGATAATTATGTTAGACTTGTCTAACCTGTGTTTTGTCGACCATATAATTTTTGTAAAATGTGCATTAACAGGTTGCTGCAATACTTCCTCAGAGAAAATGCCTGAGCTGGATACTTATGATTTAGGCTCTCTTTAGAATGTATGAATTTTATAGGAATTATACAGGAATTTCATAGGAAAAACGTAGGAAACATGAAAAAAAATCCCCCAATCCAAAGGAGCCTTAGTGATGTTTGGAATTGTTGGATTATGGAATGTGTGAATTGTTAGTAGAAATTGTCAATAGAAACATTTTGGGTGTTAGCTTGAGCTAAAGGCAGCAGCTGTTGCTGCAGCTGCTCTTTTTTCCTCTGCAAAACACCGTAGGTGCAGCAGCAGGCCGCTACTGCAACAGAAACAGCGTGCTGCCGAACCACCCCACCAATTTCGATCGTGCAGTTTTTTGTGGTTGAGACGTCAGTGGAAACATTGTGATCGTGCAGTAACCCAGACGAATAGTTAACAAATTCGATTATTCCTGCTAACTGGGACTGAAAAAGCTAGACGAATGGTTAACAAATTCGATTATTTATGCTACCTGGGAACTGGACACAAGCTAGACACTTTGACAGGAACGATTTAATTCGTGAAGGACTAGGGAGAATCGCACAGGGGTGTTATTTGCTCTGCCAGAACTCTGGTTCAACACAGATGATAGGCGCACGAACAAAAACTTAACTGGAAAGACGTGGGGGAAACCTAGACCCCTGCACGAAACGCTGTTGTGCCATAACTTTGTGGCCCAAGAACATCTGATAATCACAATATTTTGTTTATGATCCTAATAATAATAACAAGATTAAAATAATTCCAGCGACCGTCTACATTTCGCTGCAACCATGAAAAGGAACAAGTCATGATCAATCTCACAGGAAATGAGATGAACCTACTAGTGCTAGTTAGAAGCCATCCTAGAGAGCAATTTGATCTCCGGCCAGCCCGATTCAGGTCGGATTCGCCTGCGCACCACCGAAAAGCCGCCGCCTACCCTGCAGCCTGCGCCGCGCTCGCCGCGCCATCGTCGAGCACCTGGACGCGATCAGCTCCGCGGCGGCCGGTAGCAGGCGTGTGCCCTCGAACAGCGCGCTCCTCTGGTACTCCAGCACCCACGTCTCCGGCTCCAGCCGCACCGCCATCGCGCTCTGCCGCCGGTGGGCCCAGGAGTTGCTGTTGCTCGCCCGCACCGTCGGCCACACCCTCCCGTCGGACCACTGCACGCAAAAGAGACACGCAGGGGGTGGGGGGTGGGGGGTGGGGGGGGAGTTCAGCGAGCTGGTGGTGCTTAGTTACGGCAAAACAAGGGGGCCGGAGGTTCTTGGCGGTTAGTTACCTCGGTGATCTCGCCGGAGAGGAGGGTGAGGTGCCGCGCCGAGAGCGCTCTTGGGAGGAGGCCGGAGGTGCGGAGAGGGCTCCCCCAGACGGTGACCTCCTCCGCCACCGATTTGTACATCGTGCAGCGCCAGTGGAACACCTGCTGATCATTCTGCACAGACAGATTGCAAAAAAAAAAAAAAAATCGTTGATGAATATCTGTAAGCCCTAATCAAGAACGAATGAGGAAGGACAAGAACCGCAAGAATGGCGAACCTGGTGGAATCTCCAGACGGAGTCTCGCGAGCTGCAATTGGCGACCCCTTCACCGCCGACAAGCTGGCGGACCCTGCGCTCCAGGACGCGCAGCTTATGTTCCAGGCCGCCAGGCGCGAGGCGCGCATCGGCCCCCACCTGCGCCACGGCTTCCGGCGACAGCTTGGACCCGAACCCCCAGGCCGCGGCCTCCGGGACGAGCCCCGTGTCCACCCACAGCAGGAGCAAGAACCCAAGAACCGTGGCCGCGTACAGCGGCCAGTCGTGCGACCAACCGCCGCCCCTCGCCGCGGGGGCCCTGGCCGGCTCCCGCCCCGGCGCCCGCCTGGATTTGGCCGTGGACCGCATCGGCGGCGTCCACGGCGGCTCGGTGGAATCCGACCCCGCCCCCGCGGCGCGGTCGCGGAATAAGAGCGCTGGTCTCCGTTCCCTGGAGGCGGCGGCGGCGGCGAAGAACCTGCGCGCGGAGGCCACCTCGGGCGCGCGCACCAGGTCCCGCGTGGCGTCGATGCTAGCGAGGCATATCTCGCAGGCGCAGTTGGCGTCCTTGCGGCAGCCGGGGTAGTAGCAGCTGTCCCCCGCGCCCGCGCGCGCCGCCCACTGCACGACGGCCGACGGCGGCGTCCCCGTGGAAGCGGAGGCGGAGGCGGAGGCGGAAGCGGACGTGTTGGAGTTGGAGGAGCACGAGGAAGGCATGCTGGAGCCGTGCGACACGGTGGGCGTCCCGCTGGCGGTGGCCGCCCTCCTGGGCGCCCCCGCCGCCGGATCCATCTCCCTCCTGTCGTCCATGGGCTCGTCGGCTGCTGGTTGGTTGGCCCGACGAGGGGTTCGAAATTTGAAGCGGCGTGCCGGCGCAACGACTTCTGCGGAGCAACGGTCGACTGAGCAACGGTCGACTCGGCTCGGTTTCTCATTTTTCTTGTGCGTGGTGTGTCAGGCACGGTAGATCTGATCCGGGTCCGGAACTGGATGAACCCGCGCGTTGGATTGAATGGATCCAACAGGGCCGCCGACTCGAGCGAGCGACGCTAACGTGGCCCAGTAATTGAGCTGGGCCTTTGATCCACTTAGATCTTTATGGTGTACCAGCCCACACGCCGGCCCGCACGTCTGCGTCAACTTCACGTGGGGGCCCACGTCGCCCCGTTTCCCACGCATGCGCGTGCCCACGTGGGGCCGTGTCTCGATCTGCGTCTGTTCTCGTTTTCCGCGCCTACCGCTCGCGCCCCTCTGGCCCAGAAGCTGCAAAAGCAGGTGGATAGGCAGGTAGGTCCAACTAGAACATTCAAACACTAGATCTACTTTTGTAACATCCAACTACAACATTTAAACACCAAATCTACTTTTATAACATTCAGATGAAACATTTACAACATACGTCTAAAACAGATGAAACATTTGGGACATATAGTTGAAACACCATTGCAACATGTGTAATATCTCGATCTACTTTTAAAACATTCAGATGCAACACTTTCAACATAAAAAAGAACACAGATGAAACACTTGAGACATTCATCTGAAACACTTGCAACTTACGTGTACAAGACACCGATGAAACATTAGGGATAGACGCTTGCAACATACGTGTACCACCATTGCAACATCCCGGTCTACTTTTACAACATCCGCATGAAAATAATTGAAACACTTAAAACATAGGTTTGCAACATGTTAGAAAAACATCAAGAAACACTTGAAACATAGCATCGCTGCCGGCCATGACCTACCTGGTGGTGAACTGCGGCAGATCGGCGAGGAGGACAGGGAGCGGATGGATGCTACCCTGGCGGAGGTGCTGTGGTGGTGAACCGCGAGGCCCAACCGAGCAGGGGGCCGAGGAGGGCCGTCGTCCAGAGGGGCCCCGCGAGGAGCGCCGTCTCCCAGGCCACCACTGACGTCGTGGGCTGCTCTAGCACCTTCGCCACCGCCAACACCACGCACGCACTTATCGTAGTCGGGCGCCTGCCACGACGGTGGGGGCGGGCTGCGTAGTGTGTGTGGGTGGGGGAGGAGATGAGGCGCGCAGCGTAGGATGGAGCATGGCCTTGGAATGGGGAGTTAGCGTCGTGGGCGGGCGAGTGCGTTGTGGGAGGGAGCGAGCGGCAGGGAAAGACGGCAGAAGTGAGGCGGAGTGCGGGCGTGGCAGCGATTCAAGAATGGGTGCGGCCACGACGACTCGAGAGGAAGTGAGTGGAGATTTTTTTATTGTTTTAGCAACGCGAGCGACCGTGCCCTTGATAATGGGTCGTTCGGGTGGGCGAGGACCTCCAACGTGGGTGTCCGGACGATTAGACGTCTTACCCACAACATTACTATTTGTTTTATGTTTACTAGATATATGCCCTTGCGTTGCACGGGGGTCATGATTTTTTACTGAACCACATAAATGGGATGTGAACGCATTAGCTCCAAGAACTTTGTATTGGACACGTACACGTAGATTCGGTCTTCGTATCGAAACTGGATAGGACGCGGATGCGTGAGCTTCGAGTGGGGGATGATTCGTACGGAAACCGGATAGGATGCGGACACGTGAGCTCTGAGTGGGGGATGATCGTATCGGACATGGACGTGTGATCATGCACTTTTTTATCACCTGGTAGATGATGTTTAGACTTAGGTGTATATAGAATAGAGCCTTTTTAGTTGTAGAATAGAGATAGAGAAGACAAGAAGATAAGAGAAGAGATATTTAAAGAGCCAAAATTTCTTCTAATTTTTTTCGCCTTCCTCTAACTACTTGACAATCACTTTTCTTCCACCACTTATTTAGTTTGGATTTACAAAAACCATGTTAACATTACACCAGTCATGATCGCAACACGCGTGGAGACATATGGCTCACCACCTACGTTTTCAACAATAGTTACATAGTCATATATTTAAGTTTGATCAATCAAAACTCTCGGTGAAAAAAACGTGAGACTCTCACTAAACACTTCGAGTATTTTTTATTTTTCTGATCTCCACTTTTGAACTTTAAATTAGCACAATCAAGAATTAAGAATAAAAAATTCTCTCGGTACGGATGATTATTTTTTTCTCGAATACGCAAAAGATTTGCGTATCATTATAATTAAGAAGAAAAGTTCAACCATACAAACAATGCGCTACTAACAAGCGCGCTAGGAGGTCGTACAATCATAGGCTGGACTGTCCTAGGAAACAGATTCAAACTTCGATATTACATAAATGATTTATAACCGAGCTAACAACAGCGCTACCACCTATGAAGTCGAGCGTCTCCACTGCTGGCTGTGCGACCATCCATCCGCATCTAAGAAGAGCGCTCTTCTGTCAGTCCTACTGTTGGTCACTGGGAACATCTCGTCCAGAGCTACAACGTGGCTCGGTGTCAAGTTCTCTGCGAAAAAGGCATCACATGTTTGCTTGGACACGGATGAAACTAGCGCCGCCGGTGTCATGATGCCCATCCTCTTCATGAGAAGTACCTCACCCCGCTTGGTGGTCGGTATGTGCGCCAGTGGCTGAGCAGCAATCCACCGGTTCCTGAGTGGCAGGGATTGCTTTGTGGTTGCCTCCTTCTGTCTTGGTGGACCGACGATTAAAGGCGACTTTCGCTTGAGCTGCACCTCCTCAACGAACCATGTGAGACGCCGAGCAGCATCGCCTGGCGTGGGCATCGTGTCTCTAGGAGTGGGTGTGCCCACCATGTCTACAACGCCGGTTTGTCCCACCCGTGGTGGTGTGAGCTATGGCAGCCCCTGCGGCGACAACATAGGCGATCCCAACACCCGCTGAGCAGCCGCTGGAGAATGGGTGTCCATCGTCGATGCCTCAACCTCTAGAGGGGCGACCGCCTGAGTAGGCTGTCACCCAGGCGTTGGTGCTCCTGCTAGCCGACTCACAATGAGCGAGGCGTCGAGTTCCTCCAGCATTGGGTCTACCCACATGGGAGGCCCCACGCTCATGCACATCTCCAACACCAGCGGGTCTGGCTCGAGAGAGCAGTGTGCAACAACGGACAGGGTTGCGTTGTTGGCAGGCGCGTCCAACATGTTACCGTGCCCGGTCTATGCTCCAACAGCGGCCAAGGTGAAGGTCGACGCTGCCTAGGCCGCTCCTACCAACCACCCATGATGCCTCCATCATTGGCATCGGCGACCACATCTGGCAGGAATGGCATTGTCCATCTCGATCCCACCAGAGCCTCGTGAGCCACCGTGGTTCGCCGGCCGAACGGAGGAGTTGTGGGTGCCACGAACAACACGTTATGGCTGATGACCCTGGGCACCTACGTCGCGCGAGCTCCCAGAGCCCATGCGTCGTGGCTACTTGCAATCACGCGCAACGTGTTGAAGTCCCTTGCACTGCAAACATCACTGAGGCAGCTTGCATGTAACACCCTCGGTGTTACACCGTTAATCATCTACTAAAACATATCAGGAGCATCATACTTGTGTGTTAATGCATGTGGTGAAGTGAGTAGATAATGCATTGCAACTAAAACGATCAATAAAAATGCAAAACCAAAGTTGCTCCACGATTCGTACAGTTAAAAAGTAGGGGTGTAAACTAATTTTTATTGAACAAAAATACTATAGAACATGTGTGTGATACTTAAATAAAGTTGGAAGTACAATCTTTGTAGATGACAATGAAATACTTGCTGTTGAAAAAGAATATTGCTAAATAATATTTTTAGTAGCTTAGAAATGCAATATGAAATTAAGATTAGCTCAAACGCTTAGAAAATTTCTAAGTCTGTGGACAACTAGACGCTGCTATGTTTAGCAATTTATTTGAAGAGATTGGGTTAAGGAGTGATGTAGTGCCATGATTCGATTTAGTAGTTCCATATGCCATCTTGAGTGCAGTGGAGCTGGTTTAGGTTTAGGAGCAACGGTTTGGTTGTGATCAGCGCTTTTAAAATTCATGCAGGTCACAACTTTGTGCTGTCTGGCACCATGCGCGTGGTCACCACGCGTGGCCGACCTACGTTGCCATGCGGTTGTGCCATGTGTGCGTGTGGCCGCGCATCGGTTGGCCGTAGCCACCGTGGCCTTACCGCGACATGGCCGCTCTGGCTGCACCGCTAGGCCATCGGTCCGCTCTACGCCCGACCGCCCCTGGCACTATGGCTGCCGCTGGTGCTGCTGCTGCCTCCACGCTCGCATTGTGACGATGCCGCTGTCGCCACCATCGCCTCACCACGCTACGCGCCTATAGCTGTGCTGCGCCGCTGGCCTGCCTTGACGCTGCGCGCACGTGGTCGTGTTGCCGTCGCCTTGCCATTGATGGCACTGTAGTGCGCGGGCCACGCCAGTTGTGAGCGTGCATGTCTGTCGGCTAGTGCCTAGCCACCAGCTGCACTGGTTGCGCCAACCACATCTCACCAAGGCGCACCCTTGCCGAGTCGCTGGTTGCCCCTCCCCCACTGCTCCCTCGCTCTCTCTCTATTCTTGTCTCCCTACCACCGTCAAATCGCACCAGCGCCGCAATTGCGAGGGGTCACCTCTCATCAATCCCTCTCCTCCGCGTCTCCACCCTCACATCCCCTCTCCAGTCGCTCCCACCCCACTTTGATTGTGGCTCAGCCGAGCCTCAATTTTGGAGCTTCGCCCCACCACCGCACCGTTACGACCCGTCACCGCACGCGCCATGGCCAGCCACCACCACTTCACCCGCGCAAATTCCTCTGCACCACTAGCTCGCCTTGGCTCCCTCTCCACCATGCGTACACCAGTGGGAGCGCTACCGCCTCCCCACCACCGTTGACGCGGTCATGTCCGTCGCGGATCATCGCCGTGCTCGTCGCACGCACG